GAATCAAGGACACAGCTCATCTCCCGAAGCTCCTACTCACCTCACAGTTGTTCACCTGGGGGCAGAGTCATGTTCCTAACTGCTGGTACTTTTAACCCCAAACTGACCGCTGCTGTGGGAGGCTTTGGGAGGGAGAAGAGGAAGCTACATCACAACAGGAGCCTGAAGCCCTGCACCATCCCCACAGCCAGTGCTGGGCTGAACTGCTAGATTCACGGGGCCACTGGTTGTGTTTTGAAAGGTCACAAGGCCTTTCTTCCCAGTCCTCCTGCATCTGGAAATTCAGCTGAAACCAAATCTACACGGGCAGATGGGTGGTGGCTGCCCAGAGGGTTAAGCGCTGGGCAGCCCACCCGAAGTCCAGCTGTTCGCACATCGCACACACTTGGTGGGGGAAAGATGCAGCAGTCTGCTTCGGTGAAGCCTCGCAGCCCTGAGAAGTCTACAGGGTCAGTTTCACTCCGTCCTACAGGGCCGATATTGAGTTGGAACAATTCAATGACAGTGGGTTTTGTTTTCGGCTTTCTTGTGTGGAAGGCAAGGAGTCTCCTCCTGAGGCACCCCACCAATGACCCCACCCCCACCCCTGGGTGTTGTCATGTCTCTAGTACTTCAAAAGACTTATAAAAAATAATAAATGTTGGTGACCCAGGCTCTGGGTGGCACTCCCAATGTAAGGCTGGGTATTTCCCACTCCTGGTCCATAAACTAAGAAGCCCATCACAAGCTTACTACAGTACAGCCCTCGCCACAAGAGGATTTCAAGCCCTCCTCGGTCTGGGACTCAGGGGTGGCTGCTCCCCAAGGCTGGATCACAAGTCACATGCAGTCCTAGTCTGTGAATCATCAGGATCTACCAATTCAGGAACACTTGGGAGTCACCAGGAACTGATGGGTGCTAAGTCTGCTGGTCAAGCTGTAATCTGGAGTAGGGAAAACAGCTGCCTTACTTAAGTTCTGGCCTGCCCTTAAAAGAGCCATGATGGCACACCGGGCAAGTATTGGATTCTTTGTTAACCCAAGATTGGTAGTTCAAACCCATCAGCTGCTTCTCAGGAGAAAGAGGAGGCTATCTGTATATGCTATGAATTGGCATGTAGGTGGGTTTGGTTGGGTGGGTCTGGCCCCGACGAGGGCAGTTTTCCCATTGTTCTCTCTCTCCATTCTGGAAAGTGTGGTCCTACTTAGGGCTCGGGGTAGCTCTCCTAACTGGCGCAGCAACTTGGAGGGACCAGAACCCCAATGGGAGAGAGTGCTAGGTGGAAAAACCTTCTACCACTAAGCGGCCATTGCCTGAGCCTGCGTGCCCATGTGAAATGAAGACAAATGTTGGGAGGCAGAAGAATCCACAGATCTCTGTAACTTCACTCACTTCATTCCCTGATGAGCCCGCTGAGTCTTTCTGCAAGACGGGATCTGTATGGGGCCGTGGCGGAATGAAGGCTAAAAAGTCAGGCACGCCCTACTGCCCATGAAAATCCAGCACACCCACCAGTCAGGGTTACTCAAGGCAGACTAGGCCTCCTGGCTGATGTCCCTCCGCTCCAGACCTCGGGAAGACTCAATTCTAGGCGCCCTCCTAGTTACCGATGTGGCCACAACCACCTCGCTCTGACAACGGGGACTTCTGGAGGTGAGCAAGAGGACACATTGTTTAACAAACAGAAAAAAGACTTGCTTTTATGACTTCAGCTCTGAAATGGGCTGGCTCTCCATGTGTGGTCCAGCTGGGAAACGGTTCCCCACACATGGTCTCAGGAGGGAGCATTCTTCAGAACACTCTGATAACCCTGGGTGGTTGGAAACGGATGGCTCCAGTGCCCCAAATGACAGGCCTAACTAACCACCACCCTTCAGTGGCTGGGGGCTCCTGTCACATGGCAAGGGCCTGGCCTTCCTGCACCCTTCACAAGGCAGGGACGCCCCTGGCCGCCTCTGTGGGGCACCACCTGGAGGCCGCTTCCTCTCTCCCCTTCCCCCTTTAAGCTGCCTGCTGCTGAGAACAGAACTTTCCAGGCTGAGGCTGTCCCCTCCTTCCATGACCTTCCTGGGGGCTTGGATCCCCACCACTACGACGACGTGTGTGGCAGGAAGCCACCCTGTCAGTCCTCTCTCAAATCCCCTGCAAGTCAGTTCACCCTCGGAGAGAAAAGTATGGCAACTCGGAGTAGCGAAGACTTCAAGAACGCACTGCACCCAGAAAGCGGTGCGCTTGGGCCTTTCGAGCGCCGGAATCCCTAACCGAGACTGTGCCTGCTTACTCAACTGGGTGACTCCATGGAGGAATGATCGCTGGGAGGCACATTTAAGGATCATTTAAGGGGGTTGTCGGCACAGTGGTTATGCTTTCTGTGGCTAACTGAAAGGTTGGTGGTTCGAACCTCTGGCCACTCTGCAGGAGAAAGATGTGTGGCAGCCTGTTTCCATAAAGATTATCGCCGGCAGTGTAAGATAAGATAAAATAATAATTTATAAATTATTAAGGGTTCATGAGGGAGGGGGAATTGGGAGGAAAATGAGGAGCCAATTCCAGGAACCCAAGCCGAAAGCGAATTTTGAGAATGATGAGAGGAACAAACGTATGTGTGCTCTACACAATTGATGTAAGTATGGATTGTGGTAAGAGTTGTATGAGCCCCAATAAAATGATTTAAAATTTTTTTTACTTAAAAAGAAAAAAAAAAAAGATTATTGCCTAGAACCGCTATGGGGGCAATTCTCACTGGGTTGCTATGAACGGGAATGGGCTCGCCAGCAACAGATGTGGTTCATGGTGAGGGGGGAACGCTGACGCTAATAGGCCATCCAAGATGAAAAGACAGAAGTTAAGGGCTGTGACATATGTAAATGTGCTTGAATGAGATGCAAGGGAGGGGAGGGGTGGGAGAGACAAGAAGTCAGAGACAAAGCCACATTCCTCCTCGGGTCTGGCCCTGAATGGCTGTCAGGCAACATGAACATGTCTGAATGGTTGAGGCAGGCGGCAGCAGCCCAATCGTTCAACTACGAAAGAAAGACCAGAATCACGCCCCCACCCAAATCTAAACATGCCGCCCACGAACAGAAACTGAATACAGCCTGCAAAGGGAAGGAGGGGGTGAGGCCAGCAAACCCCTCAGGCTTGAGAGACAGGCCAGCCCACTCTCCTGGTGAGTGGAGAACCAGCCAGTATTTCCAAAGGCGAAACAGGCGCAGCCGCTCGGGTTCTTTGTTTCTCTTGATTCCGTCTTCTTGCCTACATCAGGTGTGGCCAAATCCTGCCCACCTGAAGACCCAAGGGCTAAAAGGGATTTCCAAAGGGTATTGCACAAGCAAGCAAAATCGATGTGGCATCCAAAAACCCCAAACGGCGCCTCTCGCTGGCTCCTTACAGGGAGGAGAGCCGAGCAGAGCCCCGTCCAGATGACGGGCACACCGAGTGCAGGGTACGGTTCTGCTGCGTTACCGCGACAGACTACATTCAAATGAGACTGTTGAGACAAACAGCAAAAACAAGTGCAGAAAAGCTGCACTCGTGGTTAGCAGGGGTTAGGAGCAGGAAGGAGAGAGGGGGAAAAAAGAAACCCATTTCTTATTAAGGGTGAAGGGAAATTTTGGAAGCAGATGATGTGACAAAAATGTGACAACATTCTTCACGTGCACATAATGTCATTCACCACAATGTGTGACAAAAAGAGTTCGCTTTTTGTTGAATGTTGAAATAGCAACCTTTCTCACACACAGAATCATAGCATCTCTCTTAAGCAAAAACATCAACATGTACAGACATTGCTTCTTGACCGATCTTCCATCGAGGTCCTTACATTTCTGAAGGTGGTGCTTTCAACCCTTCCCCAAAGCAGCCTGCACCCTTCGAGCCGCTACACACAAACCGTGCCCCTTATCAAGGAGCTTTTCATTCCGGGAACCGACACCTGGAGAAGCGAGATCGGGAGTACAGGGTAGATGGCGTGCCGTTTTCCCAAACTAATTCCTAGACAGCCCATGCGACCCTTCAAGAAGGAGCAGACAGATCGTCGTGATGCGGGGAGGGGGACGTCTTGGTGCAATGTTCCTGGCCTTTTTCAATGTTCATAAAACGTCCACCTGATTAAGCCACCACGGTTGGTCTCGTTGGCCGCACAGAAAAGCTCCATAACCCTTAGGTCTGTCTTGAAGTTAACTGGCCCAGCTGGTCCCCTCAGAAACCACTGTTCTGAGCGAACTCTTTTTGAAGGCACCCCAGTGGGGCTGAGCCAAGTGTAGGAATGAGAGGCCTTGCCTGCACCCACAGATCATAAAGACGTGTTCTAAACACATTTTGTCCGGCATACACTTGTGCACGTATGCACTGGAATGGCAGTAGCAGTACTTTTTGACTCACCCTTGTATTTACAAGCAAAGCAATGCAAACCAAACAAAAAACCTCCGGAGGAAAAGCCTCTCTGGAGTCTTCCCTCGGCAAAATGAATTAAGTGTCTCTTTTTCCTGTTTGGGTTTGAGAGGCAGGGGCAGATGGGCTCAGAAAGGAGAGGGGATCTAAACAGATTCGGCAAAAATACTTCTTCAAGGGCAGGACTGAGAGGCCACGGAAGTCCCCGAGTTTAGGGCAAGGACCTCTGAACTCCAGGCCACAGCTGAGCTGGGGCCTGTGGTGAGAAACAGAGGAGCCTTTACTGACAGAGAGGGCTCAGGAAGGTTCTGGGCTCTCCTTACTCTTTATGAGCCTGAACTGCTTCATCTGAAAAAAGGGAAGCTACGCTAGCCACCACGTTTGAGAGGATTTGAGGCAACACGTGTGGATTAAGATATGGAAAAACAAACCTGAGACTTGCCTCTGGTGGCATTCTATCACCCAAGCCCAACTGTCAAAACCAGTGCCCGACACCCTGCCACTGGCGGTTCTGCATTCCATTCCATCAGGGAAGCCGGGTAAAAGGAGAAGGCTTCGTCTAGCCACTCCTGAGCGAGTTGACCCCTCAAGATAGAAACTAGCAGGCAGGACGGAGTAAGGAACTCACAGGTCTCGATACTGGTCGAAGGCGTTGTTGGCTTCCACCTCCAGCTTTCTCAGCCGAGCAGATGGCATGGCCCCATCTTCCAGTGGAGGGTCGTACTTGTTACTCCACGGTGACCTGGGAGGATGAACAGAGATAACAACATGAATGATCCAGGGAGACATGCTGGGAACCTAAGTCCCAGGTATCTAAAATGTCAGAAGCAAAGAGAATTTTCTGGGCCACGATGGAGCCCAGGTGGTGCAGTGGGTACTTGTTGGGCTGCTAACTGCAAGGTCAGCAGTGTGAAACCACCAGCTGCTCCAAGGGAGAAAGATGAGGCTTTCTACTCTTATAATGAGCTATGGTCCCAGAAACTCACCGGGGCAGCTCTACCTTGTCGACAGGTTTGCTGTGAGTGGGAATCGACTTGATGGCAGCTGGATTTGTTTTGGGGACAAGTAAGGTTTCCTTGAAGTCTACAGAGCCAAAGTTTCAGAAGCAAGTAGACGTGGGGATCAAACCCAGGCTCCACCCCATCACAAACTGGGTACGTCTGCCAAGTGGCTTGACTTCTCTGAGCCTCACTTTCCTTGTGTGCACTACTGGCCCACACCGGGCTGAAGGAAGAAGCAAAAACAAAGGTGCATTAAGTGCCTGGAGTAGAGGGTGGCAGACACTAAGTGGTCCACAATTGTTTGTCTTGAAATGGTACTGATACACAGATAGCTTCTTCTCTTCTCAAACTGCTGAAAGCGCTAGCTAAAACTTTCACTCCAAAGACCTTCTGACCGAGCGAGCTGTCAGTTACGGGTAGCAGGCAAGAGACTCAGCTCCACCAGGAAACACGGATCGCATGAGAGGGCCTGAGTGCAGGGTTCCCCACAGGAACGGAGGGCAGCACTCCCAGCATCCCAGGCTGTGCGCACATAAAGGCTGCTCAGTAATGAGAACCAGCTTGTCCTTTTTCCAGCCCAAAGCCTTGTTGCATTTTTTCAAATGTATTTTGCCACATCAGGAAAGCATTTAATCACGGAGAAAGAACTGAGGGCGGGGGCGGGGGTGGGGGGGTATGGGTTATAAGGGAAAGATCTACTCGTTAATTCTTGCAGGTGGGGTTCAGAGGGCTGGGTGTTCAGCAAAAGGAATGGAATTAAAAAGGTGCGAGAGGAATGAAAAGGGGGAGAAGACAATATGGCATCCAGGAAAAGTTGTTCACTCTCCCCGGCATGGAAATCTCAATGCTGCCGTTGTAAGAAACCAAACCCTATCCCCTACTGACAAGCCTCCATAGCATTACCAACTCACACGGAACTGTGGATTTTACAGACAGACAGACAGACAGACAGACAGAGAGGGTAAGAGGGAAAATGAAAAATATAATCAGCATCTCCCGAATCCAGTTCTAAAAATTCCTGGGCACACCCCCCCTTCTTTTCTTGACAACCTAAACCACACCAGGTAGCTAGGTCAGTCGGTTACCTAGGGCAGGTGGGAACCAGCACAGGCTGAGCAAGAGCACACAGACCAGTGCTTCAGTCCCGCCCACCACCCCACAGCGGGCCTCTGGGCAGGAGGTCCCCTGCTGGCCTGAAAGCAGCAGGGACCCTTGGAAGCATTCTTTCCAGATCAGCCATCCCCTCATTGACTGCTACAACTCCCCACCCCCAGTCAGGAGCCAGCTGGTTTTGAAGTAGGAGTTTTGAAGCCAATGCTGGGCACACTCACCTTCTCCTGAGAGGCCTCTCTCCCTTCCTGAGCGCAGGCCGCACGTCACTTTTGTGCGTGTTCTCCTGCTAAAATGGTGCTGCCCAACCAAACTTCCTGCAGTGATGCGAATGGTCTCTCTCCGGTCTATCCACAATGGTGGCCATCAGCTTCACGGGGCTCCTGCACACTTGGCATGGGGCCACTGCAAAGGAGGGACTGAGTGCTTTCACTTGATTTCACTTGAATGAAGAGAGTCAAGTCCAGAGTGAAGGTTCTGAGAAGGACTCGCCCTTTTCTTACCTTTCACTGTGCAGCATGTAGTACTCAACCACACCCTCAAAAACATATATATAAACAGTGAACCTACTGGATGCGTGAATTTTTGTATTCTCTTCTTGTCCCAAACAGAAGGGCCCACTCCCTCCTCTGTGCCCCTGGGTCCCTACACAGATGCTAATTCTTGCATCTGTAATATTCTCACTGGACTCTTCTGCCGGGTATCGAGAGAAGAGAAGCTGAGCCTTTCTGGCCCAAGTCCCGAGCAGAAAGCTCATGCTCAGGCAATGCTTGCTGACAGACTGGACCCTGATAGCACAGGATGGAGAAGAAAAGACCTAAAGGAATTCTGCTGGCGCCCTCAAAACCAGGAGCGACGGCCTTCCTGTCTGCTTCCCCTGTGGAGTGGGATCCACGCCTCACCCACGCCCACCACCAACAGAGCCCTCCAGAGGCCTCTCAGGGCAGAGGCAAGGTGCAGCTGCAGGCTACTGGCACTGCCATCATTTACCAACGAGGCCTGGTCCTGCCACTTGCCATGGGGCGAGGGAAAGGATCTGAGAGGAAGAATTCCATTCCCCTCCCTTCTCCCTCCTCGCTCCCTCTAAGTCTCCTTAGCACACTCAAAGGTCTGACCTTGGTTTCCACGGTTAAACAACCATTGCCTTCCTGTGGGCCTGGAAGACCTGCCCCAACTGGCTTTCATTTAAAGGCGACCTCATTAGACATAAGAGCCCATCTCTCTTGCAGACTGGGGGCTTGGAACTTTCAAGAAGCCTGTAACTCACATTTCTCCTGGCTCACAGACAACGGCATTTCAAGCTGTTAGTCCTGGAGCCGGGGTAATTGTAGCTGGGGGAAAAATCATAACATTACCCAGAATATTCTTAGTAGAAGGGGCACTCGGAGCACATTTAAGAGCTTAAACGGAGGCCATTTGAAAAGAGACAGATGGACAGGAACGCTTAGATTTCTGCAGTCAGGGCTTTCATTTCCCTCAGAGAATGCTTTTTGTTTCGGCTAACAGGTTTCAAACGGTGCTGCTGGCCACGGGCAGGCCATACGGATCTGATTTAAGGCAACAATCAAACCCAGTGAGGATGGAAATGTGTGGAAAAACTCAGAAGACCTTGAAGTTTTATATCAAGGGTGGGGGGTGGGGAAAGAAAAGCTCGCTGCCTTGACACCCGGGGCCCACTTTCAGCTGAGATCCCCCAGGCCCCTCAGGAATGTGAGGGTTGGGGGCAGCAGCGCAACCTGGCTGGACTGCAGGTACCAGGCACCTAGGGGGCAGCCTGGCCTGGGCACGGATACGGAAGTGATCCCATCCTTCCACAGGCTACGGGAGAACCACTGCTCAACACAGTGAGCTGGAGTCTCCAGGGAGAAAACTGATGATCACATGGGACTTGGCTCAAGGATCCTGTCCCTCCGGCGAGCCTTCTCGGCGCCCATCCCTGACCAGGGGGCTGCTCCCAGGATGATGTGCGCTTGCTCACTGTTCTACCAGACACCGAGCACCTTCGCTGGACCTCTGGCTCTCTCCCAGCAGGCTCTCTGTAAGGGCTGTGGTCTCCTCATCTACCTCGGCCCCATGGCTGGCAGAGTGCCTGGCCCAGAACAAGCCCACCAAAGTCAAACTTCATGTTGAGTTAGTCTCTTTGGCGTCCAGACTCCCTGTGCCTCTGCATACATTCTTGCTCTGAGTGTTCCCACTGAGCAGAGGGGTCTTCCCTACGGACCTGGCCTTCTTTCTCACTTCCACCTCCTAGGCCCAGACTGACTTGGCATATAAGAAAGAAGCGTGTATGGATTGGGATAACAGTTGTATGAGCCCCTAATAAAATGTTAAAAAAAAAAAAAAGAAAGAAAGAAAGAAAGAAGCAAACAGTGTCAATCATTCAACAGTGACCTGGCTGAGCAGTCCCTGTGGTGGCAACCCCGCCTCCCCCGACCTTGTGGAGTGAGCCCAGATTCTCAAGTGTATGATTAAGGGGTGGGAGATGGATCAAAAATAAATAAATGAAACAGCACAATCTCTAGTATTTAAAATAGTACTAAGAGTTCCAGAGACTTAACAGAGTGGGGAGGTGCGGGCGGAGGGCCGTGCTGGTAGGTAACTGGGACAGGGATCCAGGCACAGGGAAGAACTCAAAAGGCCTGGGGACAACAGAGAGGGAAGTGATTCGTACCACCTGGTAAGGCACCCATGTGGGGTAAGAGTCCTTGGGGCATCCAGGCAGGGGAGGGACATGATCTGATAGGTTGGTGGCTGGGGGAGAGTGCCGGTGTCCCCATCTGACACCATCATTCCCAGTGGTGCAGAGATGGCCCAGCTGGCTCACCTCAGTCTTATACTTCAGATCCTGTCTGTCTGGCCAGCACACAAACAGCTTCTTTCAGGGTCACAATCTACGGTGGGCTGTCAGAATCACCTGTTCAAGCACAAGCTCGCGGCTCCACCCTGAGATTCTACTTCTGAAGGTTTGGGGGGCGATGCTCTGTGACCACCCATGTGCATTTTGAAGCCCCCTTATATTTTAATGTAGGTTCCAGGTCCCACCCTATTAAATGGGCATCTTTAGGGCAGAGACCCGGACTTGTATTTCTAAAAGCACAAGATGTTTGATGGTCACTGTCGCAGGGCTAAGGCCTGCTGCAACCCACTCCCATGCTCTCTGGCACTGAGGCAATTATCTAGGGGTCCTACCATGAGGCCCACTGTGACTTGGAGCTCATTGCCAATGGCTCTGGGATGGCATCAGCACCAACACTGCCAACAACCTGGCCCTATAGCAAGACCCGATGCCCCAGGGAGGCAGCTCTGCAGGAGGAGGTACACGTGGGGTATTGAAGCACCCAGAGGTGGCACACCATGCAGAACCAAGCAGGGAGTCTTGAACTGAAGTGTGCCTCTGAGTCGATCCGCCTAACTCCAAGGAAAACCAGTAGTCCCCTCAAAACACACACACACACACACACACACACACACACACACACACACACACGCCCATTCCCCCCTCACACTAAGCAACACCAACAGAAGCGAGTTCTCCAGGTGGTTCAGGTGTGGAAACAATAGTATGGTGCAGGTTCTCAACTGTGCCATTGCTGAGGGCTTGCGACGCCTTGTGGGGGGTGGGGGGGAGCGC